GAAATTGTGTAGCCGGCTATAGAAGCTATTGGAAATCTTACAGCCGGCTGTAGGTCTATGGTATTTTGGACCACAGATTCTACTGCCAATTTTTACCAGGGAATTCCAGTTCACCAACTCAAGCGTTTCTGCTCCGCTCATCTCTCGAACATCTACATATAACGAATAAATACACATACACATTAGAACACATAATAAAACACATAAAAATATTTCTCCTTTTCTAGAAGAACAAGCTTTCTTTTCTTTCTTTTCCATTACTAAAAAAAACTCTATATTCAAAACAACTATCCTTGTGCACTATCTAAAAAAAAATAAAATAATAAATAAAAAAATAACAGACATATTCTTTTTAGAAAAACAAAAATTTGTTCTGCTACTAAGGATTGTATTACTCTTCATTTTCTTAAATTCTGAGCGAATTGTTCCACTTTTTCTCTCCTGAAACGTGTGCTTGGCGATCAAATTTTGGGTTTCCTATCGGGACACAATAAATTAAAACTTATGTCGAAAATTCAATGAATACTGTTTCATTCAATGAATGGAAGATCAACTCACTCGTAAAAAGTAAGTCAGAAAGAAGTACGGCACGGATCGGTAACCACTACATTGTTGGTCCACATCACCAGCGTTCGCAAACAAAAAGTTGAAAGTTGTCTGTTGACGAAAGTATTGCATAACATTTGGAATGCAACTTAACGTGAGGAAGGTCAAATACAAAGGTGATTTTCCGTGAAGAATTGAGCTCACCCTGCGTTGCCTCCCTCCTTCGCCCAACCTACCATCCACCTCTTATCCTCATTTTTGTGAAAACGCTGTTTCTATCGTCTTGATATCCACTTACGTTGTTCTGCTCTGAGCTGTCTAATCTATTCACGGAGCATTTGATTAGCGCAAGAATTTATACAGTCTCATGCACTTGATTTAATCGAGTTTTAGCATGCCACAAGGATTTGCAAGTCGAGCAATAATCGCGAAAAGAATTCGTTGATTGCGCTTTGCTCACATTGATTGAGTTTCGCGCCGTCACTGACCTTGTAAAAACCTTTAAAGTTGATCATCTAATCTCATGCAATAACAAGTATAATTGCTGCGTCCATACTGTTGCGGAAACTTTGAGAATTTTACATTAAGTCTTGGTACTCAATATTAAAATATTGACGACCATGCCATTCGTGCTAACATGTTCTTCCTCAACAATTTTCACTGGGTGCTGCTCGCACAAGCTGAATTTTTATTTCTATTGGCCTGGTTATGCGCTCAAATTTCCGTCAAATTCCGATCAAAATGATGACCAAGATGGCGGTCGAGAGTTGTCTAGATTGATGAGTAAAATTAATTAAAACAGCGTGTTGATTGAAATAAGCATGAAATAAGCACGGTTGTGTGGGGATCAGATGAAAGATGAGCCACACAGTTCCATCATCTACCATCAAATTTTTGCAGGCCGCAGAAATTTGACTTCATTAGAATGAAAAGTACGGAAAATTTCACGTGAAATCGACCCCATGAAATCCAAAATCGGACCAATTTACGCCCAAAAATGATCCCCTGAATCAGTGCCTGCATTTCTTGATCGTAATTCCGAGATCATGGCACGCATTTGATCCTGGATTATTGACATTTGTTGGACTTGAGCTTCCATGGTTGCATTCCGTTGTTCCAACTTTGAAACTTTGTTTTTCGCATCGCAAATAATTTGACAGCGAGCCTTTTTCAGGGTTAGAACCGCTAGGAATGTTGAGGAGAAAAAAACTGCATTGCTGCAAAACGTAAGACTCACTGCATGGAGTGCTTTGTATGCATGCAAAATAGGAATACAAATAAGAATAATATTGAATAACTCATATCCACACGTTGCCCTGATGGAGAAGAGGGGTCAAATGGTTGTGAGAGGGGAAGGGACATCGGCTCGGAGGTTCACGACATGACTCGCTAACACAGGTAGTATGCACTGAATCGTTAATGGCAGTTGCAACATTGCCCAAGAATGTTCGTTTTATGCATTCTCAAATACACGCTCAGGTTAGGGGAAGATAGTATTAATGCCATTAAGGGAGGAAAATATGATTTTATTTTAAATAAAATATGATTATATTTATTTTCATACAAGTGAATCCCCTCATTCCCTGTTCTCTTGGGGAGGAAGGAAGGGGGTCGAAACTCGACGCCGTCCACCACTACCAAAAATGTCCGCTCAACAAGATATTCGTTTGCATCACCTTGCAGGCGGACTACCAATAGTCGCGGATGTAGCCCTTTTTAATCGAATAAAATCATTACTACTACTACGGGCTACACTTATAACGGTCGCTGGGGGCAGGGCCAAAAGGGCACTCTACTCTCAACTGCCACTCTTCTTTGGGACGATCTTGTGCCTCCACCAGTCAGATTTAGAGCTCTGAGGACTCGAATTAGTTGAAGAGATTTTACCAACAGTGCAACAGACAAATAGATGATCAAAATAGATGCTTTTATTCGATCCTAAAATAACAAACTCAATAACTCAACGACTACTCAATAACTCAACGACTACTTAACAACTCAACGACTACTCAACAAAGGGGGGGGGGAGGTTTCTCGACAAGGCGAGGGTCGCACTGGGTTTGGGGCTTGGCGCAGTGAGGAGCAGCTTAGGTGACACCTCGGAGACTACTGGCTATAGCCATGATTACTGTGAAGCTGTTCAGGTGAATTAGAGCGGAAATCAGAAGACCTGATCGTCGGGTATCAGACAAGCGATCAAGAAAACCGTTAAGCTGTAAATCCCCTTGAACTTGTTTCGCGTAGTCCTGAATACTTGAGGCTAACGTTCTTCTCTCCTCCTCTTTCCGCAGCGCTTTTTTTCCCTGCGACATATCAATTCACTACCGTCAAATGAGGGAATCAATGAGTCGTTCCATATTCCACCCATTTCTCGAGTAAAGTTTGATCCTCCGAGTAGCAAGAGCTCACTGGAACTCACGGTGCACTCCTAAACACCGCGCAGCACTCCGTCCCCTGTTAATTTCCGAAACCCGCGCCACACTTAATTCCCACTTTTGTCGGCCTGTCCACTGAAAAACCCCATTCGCTATTAATTCTTGCGAAGAAACTCGCCTGCCGCAGCAATACCTTCTTCCGGCAGCAGCTAAAGTTCCTGGAACTAAACAAAGAAAATTCACATGCATTAATGGAACTTGAACTTAATGGAGACTCAGCAGAACGTGCCGAATATTCACGGATTTTTTTACAAGATTTCACCGCCTGATAATCAAGGACAGTATAAAATTTAAAATCCGAGGCTACCAGCAGGAAATCACCTACATCTAATTGAACAAAAGATCGCAAACTTTTATTAACTTTTATTAAAAATAGGAATTGGAGTTATCTCCCATAATTGAAAGTAACCTCGTAGCTGAACTGTGACACTGGTGGCAGTTGAAATCTCGCTAGGGGTTGTTCCCAGTGGAGTGGTACGTACAGGTTTTGATCATTTCGTTGTTGCATTGGATGGCGATGCTGCTGGCTGTCGGTACGGCTCAAATCGAGACGGACAATGCCCACAGTGATTGGATTGAGATTGATCAAAAAAGAGATGTCGACTATTGGTGACGTGCAACCCCTGGTGGGTTTCATCCTGTGTGTATGGCATGTACCCAGCGCCTCTACCATGTAGTCGATATGTGATGCCCGAGGGGATCCCTTACATAAAAAGAAGTCGCCCAACTAGAGCATTAACCTAGGAAACAGAGGAGGACTTCTGCGTGATTTTTTTTATCTCGGCGGATAAGTTGTCCTACGCTTTGCCAACGACACAACGAAAACTGATAAGCCCAAGCGGTGGAAACCAGAGGCCCGGCATCGAAACGCTCGAGTGTGCATACGCCCTTCGCCTCAAAATCAGCATTTCTCGCCCCAAGTCAAAGCTCATCCCAACGTTGCCAAATTCTCAGACAAAACGAGAGTTTCGTTAGGGAAATAGGTCGGGTTTGGCTAGGGGAGGCAGGGGGCCTGCCTCCCCTAGAATTGAAAATAGTATCAGACCCCCCCCCCCTGAGATTCTGAGCACAACTGACGGTGCATGACCCTCGCACATCTCCTCGCGCTCATCTCTTAAAGATTTTTCATTCTTTTTTTATTGGGCAGCTACGACTCCAGGTCTGGGAAACATATACCACCTAAAAAAGTGTGTTTTCTAACGGACAAGACGACGCGAAATCCACCTCTCACTCTGGGCTAAAACGCCACGGAAACACCCGAGTGGATTTCCCTGATCACCATAGTCACAGTAAAGTTGCTCATGCTACTTGGCAGCGGTGTTAACGAAGGACAGTATCTATAAAACTCGGCGGAAGTAACGGCAATGCACGGTGAAATCCAAACGGCATGACGTCATTTGAATTACATAAATGGGTAACCTTACCTTGTTCGCAGAAGCTGAACGCGCCTAGGCACATTCAGAAACCCTCGTGCTCTTAATTAGTCTTTTAGTTCCTTTGTAAGTGGTCTTAATATCCTCTCGTCAGGCAGAGAATCAACACACCACAGCGGACGCCATTGAAGGTTTCCTAGTGACTCTTCGTCGGGGGCGAATCCACTACTATGGTTCCACTACCCACGTGGTTCTTTTGAACAGCGCGCAAAATGAGCGGCTTTTCTGCGACCGCAGTCATGTCCCGGAACTTTTGCAAGCGGTTCAAAACAAGCACGATGAAGAACGTTTTTTATCTCTTCATTTTGCTACGTTTTTTATCTCTTCATTTTGCATTGCCTGATGATCTCTGGGAGGATAGGGGGCAATGGCGATTGGGCGTCGCAGAGCGCGAGGCGGCGCTATAAAAGCGACTTTATGTATGTATTTTGCTACTATCTATGTCACCAGAGCTTGGTTTTCGGATTCTTTCAAACTTTTCCTCCTGAACAAAATGTTCTAAAAGCTTAAAAAGCCTCGAAGCTTCAGTATAATAAATCTTGCCATTCCTCTTGTTTTAAGACCAATTTTTCGAACTTTGTTTCAGGAAAAGTCACGGATCCATGGCCTGTAATTGTATGGCTACACCCAGGTGACTTCAGAGTCGGCGCAGCTAACTTTTGGGATGGTTCCGCTCTCGCAGTGAAGCAGAAGGTATGGATTCAATCAAAACTGGGCGTATACTCTGTCTTTATAACCTAATACTCTAGCGGGTTGGGGTCAGTAGCCAATGACGGTGGGCGGGATATTTGACTGCCAAGCTGATTTATTCTATAACCGTCGCTGGGGGTAGAGCCAAAAGGGCACTCTACTCACAACTACCACTCTCCTTGGGGTGATCTTGTTGCCTCCACCAGTCAGATTTAGAGTTCTGACGACTCGAAATAATTGAAGGGACCTCACCACCTATAGGGATCGACGATGCAGAATAGATGACCAGACCAACAGACAAATAGATGACCAAAATAGATTATTTTATTCGCTACTAAAACAACAAACTCAACAACTCAACACTCTAAACTCAACAACTCAACGACTAGCAAATAAGGGGGGGGGGTTTCTCGACAAGGCGAGGGTCGCACTGGGTTTGGGGCTGGGCGCAGGAAAAAAAATGGTCTTTATTCGAACGCCCCTTATACTCAGGGTACGTAGACCAGTCCTCGTCCGTTCTCGTTACCCTGAGATATAATTCAGACATGGGTTCCATCAGGATCGAAGAAAAAAAGAAAACGAAGCGCAGACACTTAACACTTGCAGAGATCGGACAAATCTGGGTCACTAAATTTCATATGTAAAATCTCCCTAATCTTTCGATTCCTCAGTTCCTCCAACGCTGACAATTGAGATTTTTCATAAATACTCTTTGATTGTAGCGTCATGTGTTGGTTAGACACGGGGGCTAAAAGAAGGGCTAAGGCTCCCTCTGCTAGGCGCCGCTATTGACCCGAAGGCATCGACGGATAATCGCAGGGTTAGAGCACTTGATCAAGGAAGGTGATCCCACCGCAAAAAATGTAAAAACCGGACTAGTACGGTACAATTAGTGTTGTGTTTTCCTTTTTCAACATGGTGCGAACCGTACAAATCGGTACTCGACGAAAGATCAAAATAGATTAGAGAAAGGGGGGGGGGCGAAACTCAGGAGCGGCGCAACAAGTTATCGGACCCTTGCCTGATCATGCAGTTGCCGATGACGCGAACACGCAAGCGAGAGCTTTATTACATTAAAATTGGTAAAAAAAAAAGTAAAGAGTATTGTCCTCAAAAAGAAGGAGGTATCCTACGCCAAAAACACTTCTTCAATCTAATAACATTCTTGCAAAATGGTGGGAAAAATTTCATACCAGAAGGAAATTTTTGAAAATTAATATGAATTATGAAATAACAAAATATGTAAAAAAGTTGGAATTTAAAATGAGCTTGAAATGAAACTTTTACTGATAAACTTAATAGGTATGAGGTATTATGAATTAATGTAAGAACCGAAATTAAATGAAATAAATAAATTAATTATCATCAGTTATTGTATTGATATTTACATGTGAAGAGTTCGGAATTTCTTCCAGAGGGTTTAACAAAAATGCCGCAACAGATGACAGTATAAAGAAGTAGTGTATCACCACTTTCATGTTTGGTATTCGAAGACCGGCAGCGTTTCTCACTCTTGTCAGTCACTGATGAGACGTCTGCAGATTGTAAAATAAACTGCGTTGTTGGCATTTTCCCCGTATTTTTGCTGTAAAAATGAGGAGAAAAAAATAAAAAAAAAACCCTTTGAGAAAAAACACTTGAGGGAAAAAACTAGATTGGGGGGAGGGTATCGGAATCGATTTTTTCTTATGACTTGCTCATAACCCGGCGCGTTTATTTAGTTGTTTTCAGTCCGTCTTAAACTCAATCGACCCGTTTACCGCGGCATGGTCAAGCGTAACAAATCCTCCTAAGGTGACAGGAGCCATCTCTACTTTTTGGGAATGTGTAGTTCAATCAGGACTGATGGCAGAGACTAGCCCTCTGTATCATTCTCGCTTTGTTTGTCCAAAGACGTCTTAAAATCACCGAAATTCGCCTCCATGACTTGATCCTGCTGCATCAGAAGGTCCAGATCGTATTTTATGGAGACTGTGTATGTATCCGATGAGTAATACAGCGGCTTGTCTAGCTTAGTAAAGAGAATATTATGCATATCATATTATACTGTTGTTATTGATGTGCGACATGTCACTGCGGGTCCAGCCGGTCCATTAAGCGTCTGAGGCATGCTGGGCAGTAGACATTGGCTGGGGGTGGTTGTCCGTGGCCGGCATAATAGAGCAGGAAATTGGCTAATAATTTTAATTTTTTTTTTTTTTGTGTGGTGTGGACGGCGTAGCCGACCCACCGCAATATTACACCACGAACAGGATATAACGAATAAAGGGGTGAGGAAATAGAGGGCAAAATCCGTGAACAGCGATGAGATAAAATCTGGTTCTCATGCAAGCCTTTTCTGTTGCCAGGTGATCGTTGTGACGCTCGGTTTTCGACTGGGGATCTTCGGGTTCCTAACGACTCTGGATAACGAAATTCCAGGGAACAACGGCCTGCTGGATCAGGTAGCGGCCCTGGATTGGGTCCAGAGGAACATCCAGCTCTTCGGGGGCGCGCCCTCCAAAGTCCTGCTGGCGGGCCATGGAGCCGGCGGCATCAGCGTTGGACTGCACCTTGTGTCACCGCTTTCCGCAGGGAAGTTCTCGCATGCCATCGCAATGTCTGGCAGCGCCCTTGCTCCGCACGCTCTGCAGAGGAAAAAGGTCCAGGCCAACCTCATCGACAGCCTCGCTGTCGAGCTCGGATGCCACCGCACGCCCACCTCAGATCTCCGTAGTTGCCTGCAACAAATTGACACAAGGTCTATTTAACATTTTTATTTTAACAATACATAACTGTAATGGACCCAAGATGGTAAAATGGGTGCAAGATTCCTAACCCTGAGCTTGTCTGACTTAGGGGCGCAGCGAAGCTCTATTCAGGGGGAAATAATCAACAGCACGTCTCCGATAGGGATCACACTTTTATTCCCTCTACGCGAACTAACAAAATACAGATGTGCACACGAACCTTATGACTACGGAAATGCTCATCACACAACAACTAAGCTGGCCTATCTCCGAGTGCTTAGGGCATCGGACCTCGGCGAATGCCTATACTCCACAACGCGTGGCCGACTGCCCAGAGTCAAAGCTGAAGCCGGCCGAACTTAGCTCCGGCCTTGAAAAGCCGGCCATGAGGCATCACTCGTCGCAATCCAAAACACAAAACACTCGGTACAAAGGACTTACACAATTTCCCCGGAAATTGCGTGTGATCCATTTCATAACTACTCCAAATTATATTGTTACATCTGTATCGTTTACATGTATTAATAATTGAAACCAGGATTAATTTTAAATGAACGTTAAGAAATTTTTTCAAGACTTGCATGCAACCTTTTATTCATGAAACTGGCTATTGGCTACAAAAATGCTTTCCACCTGTGTAAGAATATGTCCATCCGTAGTAATGTAAGCAGACCAAGGGTTAGAGGGTGTTGATCCACAGTCTCGGCGAGATGACTTGCNGGGGGGGGGGGGGGGGGGCGTAGCGAGCTCACATCCTTAAGTCATATAGCACATTCCTACACCAAAGTTACTACTCAACTCTGTAGCAATCTGTTTCGTTGCAGATTCCTGATGGAAAAGGTAGACAACGTGGACGCCTGGGGTCCGATCCTGGACCAGCCTTTCGTGAATGAGTCGGGACGATTCTTCCTGGCTGAGCTTCCAGTTGACTCCTTCCAAAGCGGGCGCTTTGCTAAGGTGCCCTTTCTGACCGGCTACGTTAAAATGGAGGACGCTTGGGAGTTCTTCGACTCGACCGAGAACCGCATTACCCAGGAGCAGTATGAAGCTAATATAATGAAGTTCGCCCAGGAAACGGAGATCGAACTCATGGAGGAGGAAGAAGAAAAAATGGATGAGGACTACTCCGGCAATTGCACTGTCAACACGCAGCTCCTTGTCGACTCCATCTCCTTCTACTATTCCCCCCACCCACCTATCGTCGACGACACCGTCCGCCTCCAACAGTACCTTACGCTAAGTGCCGAGAGAAAATATGGAGCAGGAGCTTTTCGGCAGGCCTATTTCATGTGCCCTCATGGTCCCACTTATGTTTACAGGTAATGTTCATGTAAAATTACATACTTAATAAATAAAAATGTAGATGAAAGAATGGTCGTGGAACATAAGTGTGGACAAAAAATGTATCTTCGAGTACACTATGCCGATTTATTAAAGCCTTCAGGTGGATTTACGGTATTCACGATTTTGACGAAGGGTCGAGATGGATCCGGTTGGAAATAGAGGATGAGGGATTCTTTGGATTCCTAGTTTATTTTATTTATTTATTTATTTATTTATTTTTTTTTTGAGTAGGTTCCAACTTTTTATTTAGCAAACGAAGATGTCAAAACATGTCTGTTTGATAAAAATGTAAGCACCTTAAGAAACTAGGGCGGGGCACATTTAAATGTAGCATATACAAAAATAATAACTGCTTGAATTAAGGCGTCTAAATTTAGAGAACAGGATAGAAACTCGAACAAAAATTTCTCACCAATCGTAGTTTTTGTCTATCCTTTTCCCCGAGATTCGGTTAACCGGTAATGTAACTCTTCCATATTTTTTGGCAACATTGGAAAAGTTCGAAGTTTTGCAACACTCAAGTTGCAGCACCCTTCTGAGAAGAGACCGTTTTTCAATTGGTAGCGAACTCCATCTATAAGGGAGGGGATCCCTTTTCAAACAGAAGCAAACTCTGGTTGATGAAGGCTATTTCCATTTAAATCTTCCGTCACATTCATACGGCACAACGATACAACTATTTGAACTCTCCGGAATGCGTGAGGTATCACGCCGCATTTGAAGGCGTTTTCAAAACAGCCAAGTTCCGATACCCGCATTATCGTTTTGCATAGTTCATATTCTTTTGTTATATTCCGTGCCACTTGTTTATTTTTAATCCTCGTAGAAAAACCATCCATTTGTAAATACAATTCTAGCTAAAGCGCACTTCAGCTATGCATTCACCACTGCAAAAATTTCAGAGGAAATCGACAAGCCGAGCGTGCATGGAGGCTATTTCAATTGTAATCTTCCGTCGTATTTCTAAGGCGCAATGATACAACTATTTGAACTCTCCGGAATGCGTGAGGTATCACGCCGCATTTGAAGGCGTTTTCAAATCAGTCAAGTTCCGATACCCGGATTATCGTTTTGCATAGTTCATATTCTTTTGTGAACACTTGCCAATTCCTTCCAAATTCCGTGCCACTTGTTTATTTTTAATCCTCGTAGAAAAACCACCCATTCGTAAATACAAATCTAGCTGAAGCGAACTTCAGCTATGCATTCACCACTGCAAAAATTTCAGAGGAAATCGACAATCCCAGCGTGCATGGAGGCTATTTCAATTGTAATCTTCCGTCGTATTTCTAAGGCGCAATGATACAACCATTTGAACTCTCCGGAATGCGTGAGGTATCACGCCGCATTTGAAGACGTTTTCAAAACAGCCAAGTTCCGTTATCGGAACAATCGTTTTGCATAGTTCATATTATTTTGTTTCCATTTCTAACCACTTGTTTAATTATAATCCTTCTATAAAAACCACCCATTTGCTAAATACAATTCTAGCTGAAGCGCACTTAAGCGCATTCATGACTACAAAAATGTTAACGGAAATCGACAAGCCCAGCGTGCATGGAGGCTATCTCCATTTAAATTGTCTCATTTTTAATTGTGATGTTGTGGGGAGGATAAAATGATCCGTAACACGTAACTCAAAATGGTAGAGCTGCTATAATCTATGGTGATCGGTACAATCGGAAAGTACAGAGCGCTATAACTAGGTAGATACACTAGACTCGCTGCCTTCTTCTTCCGTCGACGAGAAGTCGGATGCCTCGGTGCTTGGTGCTTCTACGACCTCGATCGACTCTAGGCTGGGAAGACTTTCTGAAGAACTGGACATTTTCCTTGGTGAGCGTTGGTAGGCGGTCTTGGAGATGTTGCAGGTCTGCCAGTTGGTGAAGGTGCTTCATCGTTTCGGTCGCAGCGTTTTTATATCGGATTTTTCTTTGACCCTGGGAGTTTATGTTTTGCCAAACTTTGAGTTTGTTGTTTGTTTTTTTTTTCCTTTAGCCAACATGACTTGAGGTTGGTAATACCGTGCGCTCGGTCGGCCCCGCGGTCTCAGCTGACTTGGTATGACGTCATCCGAACTCCTACGGCTCGCCGGCGATGGTCGGCCGATGACCGTGCTGAAGCCAAATTGGAGAGAGAGCATCAATACAGTTTTCCGGAATTTGCGCCACGCTGTAAATGCGCCGACCCGGTGATTTACACGGAGGCAAAATGTTTCTTGGTCTTAGATTGTATCCAATTGGATCGCCTGGCGGATCCTCCCCTTATGGGGTTCCGCTTCCGCTTGCCCGAGGGTGGTACTTTTTCAGTCATTCGCCGTCGATCTCTTCCGTGACGTCTCCCCATCGAACTTCGAACGCGCCTGATACAACTATACATTGCGCGTTGTATCATTGCGCCGATACTTCGGCGCAATGATACAACTATTTGAACTCTCCGGAATGCGTGAGGTATCACGCCGCATTTGAAGGCGTTTTCAAAACAGCCAAGTTCCGATACCCGCATTATCGTTTTGCATAGTTCATATTCTTTTATTATATTCCGTGCCACTTGTTTATTTTTAATCCTCGTAGAAAAACCACCCATTTGTAAATACAGTTCTAGCTGAAGCGCACTTCAGCTATGCATTCACCACTGCAAACATTTCAGAGGAAATCGGCAAGCCCAGCGTGCACGGAGGCTATTTCTATTTAAATCTTCCGTCACATTCTTATGGCGCAATGATGATATGGCGCAAACAATTCGCAAGTATTTTGTGCTGAATGTAGAAAAAAAAAAAAAACATAATTATTCCGCAGAAATTGATGGAAAAACTCTTTATGGAAGCTTCAAAATGCGTCCGATTAGTCGTATAAATTCTAAAATTTCTCGGAGGATGCCCCTCGGACCCCCCTCCCCTTCGTGCTTGAGCCCCGGACCTTAAAACTGGTACCAGGGCCCGAGATGGGATGTGGCGGGCCTGCTGATACGTCCCCAAATCGGTAACCTGCTCCTATGCATCCATTTTCTCGTCACATTAATAACTGGACCATTTCTGTTGCCAGGTTTGACTACAAGCTAAAAACAAACGGGATAATGGACCTGCCGGACTGGCTGGAGGTGCCGCACATGTTCGAGCTTATATTCGTCTGGGGCATGCCGTACTGGTCGTCACTACCCTCGGCGACCGTCTGGAACGCAGCCGACAAGCGGACGGCCGACGTGATCATGGCCATGTGGACCAGTTTCCTCCGCACCTCGAACCCCATCCAAAGCTCGCTAAACATCAAGTGGGACAAGTTCACCGCCGAGAACCCGGCAGTCATCCTCCTGGATCGAAACTTCGACATGAACGACGGCAGCCTCCTCAACTACAAATCCTTCGAATTCTGGAACGAGTACTATCCCCGCGTCACCGAGGCTGCCAAGATCTGCTGCAACTTGACCGCCACAGCTGCGAGGACACGCTACGATTTCCTTGCCACCGTCATTGTGGTTGGAGCCAATTTGAGGTTTTTCCACTGACCGGGTAAGATTTTTAGTCAGAAATAACCTACCACATGACGGGTAATATTGTAATAGACCCGGGATGGTAAAATGGGTGCAAGATCCCTAACCCTGAGCTTGTCTGACTCGGGGGCGCAGCGAAGCTCTAATCAGGGGGAAATAATCAACAGCACGTCTCCGATAGGGATCACACTTTTATTCCCTCTCCGAGAACTAACAAAATACAGATATGCACACGAACCTTATGACTACGGAAATGCGCATCACACAACAACTAAGCTGGCCTATCTCCGAGTGCTTAGGGCATCGGACCTCGGCGAATGCCTATACTCCACAACGCGTAGCCGACTGCCCAGAGTCAAAGCTGAAGCCGGCCGAACTTAGCTCCGGCCTTGAAAAGCCGGCCATGAGGCATCACTCGCCGCAATCCAAAACACAAAACACTCGGTACAAAGGACACAAACAATTTCCCCGGAAATTGCGTGTGATCCATTTCAATATCGTAATAGGTAGACCAGGGGATAAAAAGGTTGAATGGTCCCCTGGTCTCCCGAACTGCCTTGCTTGGGGGGGCGCAGCGTAGCTCGATGGTAAAAGGTATGAAAGGGAACGCCACGAGACGTATATTATATCCAGAACTCTTTACTACTCTACAACAACTCTACCACAAACTTTATACTGGCAGCCCAAATTCCTTACCACTATAAAACGCTTAAAAAACACAACATACTGAGACCTAAGGGCACTGGACCTCGGTGATGCTCAGTTGCCAAACACGTAGCCAACTGCCCAGAGCCAGAGCTTCAGCCTGCCGAGCTTAACTCCAGCCCTGAAAACCTGGCTATGAGACGGCACGCTCGCCTAAACTTCAGTCCGGAAAAACGCGGCCGCTGACGCATAAACAATGCCAAGACCGCATCGAACGCTCACTCCAAAGGACACACGATTTTTCGGAAATTGTCCCGTCCTATTGCATGATCTGTCCTTTGGAAAACAAAAAAAAAAGAAGAAAAAAACATGAACCTCTGGGTCTCAGCGAAAACAGTCGTGGGAATCCACCCCCCTTTTTCTCAGCTAAAATTCAAAGCACAAATCAAAAAAAAAAAAAAAATGACAAGACGACCCTTTAGAACTTTACAAATTGACCTAACCCCATTTGGTTAACTTGTTGAATTGGGGAGATTTTTAAATAAATAAATCTTTAGATACAATAAAATGATCTAACTCAAATTAAATTATCCAAATAGCGTTGGTGTGGAACTCGTGTTTTTGTCTACTAAGAGGTTTAGTCATAATATCAGCAATCATTTTTCCGGTTTCCACATGTTTTATAACAAATCTTTTTTCTTTGAGTTTTTGTCTTATGAGATGATGACGTATGTCAATATGTTTAGTGCGCTTGTGGAACACCGGATTCTCTGCTAGGTCTTTGGCTCCACGGTTATCAGTAAAAAGCGTTACATCTAGTTTCGTCAATAAAATTATATCAATCTGTTTTTCATCAAAGATCTCGGCATAAAGATTTTTCAAGTAACAACCTTCTTTCGCTGCTTCGCTTAACGCATAGTATTCGCAGTAAACCTCGCAATCCAAGCCCCTGGTGGTAAAAAATCTGCGCCGCTTACAAATTACACCACACAATTATTGTCATTCCGGTTCTCTATTTTCTCTTCTCTCGGTCATCCCGTCGAAGACAGTGTCCCGAGCGACCGCCTCCTTTATCGTCCGAGTGTAGTTGCCTGTCTTCCAGTCTTGGTATCTCTCCGTCATCTCCGCCATCGTTGCTAAAAACCGCGATAAGGAGATCCCGGTAAGCGCCTTCAAACTCATGCGATACTATGCCGGTTGCATCCAAGCTCCGTCCTCGCGGTGGAAAGAGCAGCATGTCACTGCACAGGCTCCACTGCCGCGATAGTACGTCTATATATGCGTATATACAGGGCATATGCGTATATGTATCTGTACATAAATACTTTGAAGCCTTTTGATTCGGTGAGAAAAAAAAATTGGTATTGGAGGAGATAAAATTATGGACCTTCTGGTCAAAGTAGGAAAAAATAGAGAGGATTAAATGTGATAAATTTATTCAACTTTGATCTGAAAAACAAAACAAAAAAAAAAAACAAAAAAAATCGTCAATAGTGCACCCCTGCCCGGAGGGCCGGCCCCGGCTCCAATCTGAATCCCTTCTTTTTGCAGATCCAGTACACTCGTACGGCCGAACTGACCACTTTGCAGGCCAACTTCAGGTGTCCCCAGGCTTGCCGCAGGCTGTAAGCTGGCAGGTACCACTCCAAATCCCAATCCACAATGATTTTTTGGGACGGCCCCATTTGTGATGTTGTGAGCCCGAGGTAATTTTCGGACGAATAATTTCTCGACTGATTGATGCAAATTTTTGTAACTTTTACCTTTTGAGATTCTTCCACTAGCAACTTTTCTGAGGCTTGTGTCCTGAGGATTTTGACTCTTTCCTCTCGCATTGAGTGAATGAATTGGTGCTTGCAGATTCAACCCATCCTTTGACTCCTCAGGGCTGTTCAACATATGAGTCCCGTTTCTAATACCTGGACAGGCACTCACTACTGATGTAGGCGCATTGTCCTTAAAAAACTCACTTTGAATGCAAAAAGAAGACTCCAACTCTACATCTAAATCATAAAAATTAGTAAAATTATTATCAACAGCTGGAGCAACACTTACTGTTACTGCATGAACAACGTCCGCCGCTCCCAGAACCTCCAGGGGCGAACCGGCTGCATTCTTTAAACTTTTTATATCATTTACGTCTATCTCCGTGGAACTCACAAAATTTGCCGTCGCAACACAGACGTCCGCGCTTGTATCGAATTGCAGAGTTGCTTCATGACCATTACAATACCCTTCCACTGATAATCTGTTAATCTTTTTAATTTCTTGATGGTCTATTTTATTAATAGACTGGAACTCATTATCATCTACAACGCAACCTACAACATCCCCATAATATTCGTCAATAATTTCTTTAATCATGTTGGCTAACTTATACCTACCAAAGTCCGATAATTTTTTTCCTTTCTGAAGGTTTCCTGGAATCCATTTTTAACTTTTCTAAAAAAAAAAACTAAATTATTGATTGATAAGACTAGGAATGTATTTCTAATGCTCTTTTCCCGTTATCGGTGAAAGGCTCGGAAAATTTAACTTCGCAAATGTTTAATGCATATAATTATATATGCCTAATGTATTTCAAATATTTTCAAAATATTCAGTGCATCAACGCACGTACTTGATAAGCAAGGTACTAAGGACATAAGAAAATGGTAAAAGGAAGATAAATTTTAAGCTTTTATTTTTTTATTTTTTCTTATTAATGACTGAGAAGAGAAAAAAAATGTTTAGTTAGTAATGAATATCGGGCCGTAGGGCGGGCCCCGGTTTCAGCTGAACGCCAGTCGAGCGCATACTACTATGACTCTTAGGGCCTCAATGACCGCTCTCACCGCCTCCCTTGAATGTTCCCATGCCAGTCTCAAACTAGCGCCTGGGAGTACCAATTCTTTGTTCCAGTCTACTGTGATCGTTGAATCCGGATTCCGATGGCCTGGCCGCTCTAGGGTGGGCTGCTCGTTGAGGCTGCGACGCCGGCGGGGCTGGAGAAAACGAGGGCTGCTGTTTGATTCTTCTGCCGATGAGAAATCAGACTCCTCGGTCCTGCTCGGTACGACGGTTATGACTTCGATTTCTTCGAGGCTTGGTAGACTTTCCGCTGAACTCCATGACTCCATTCTCTGGGTGCTGAGGGCTTGGTAGATGGTTTGTTGGTCCGGCGGATGCTGAAGGTGCCTCATCGTTTCGCTCGCAGCGTTTTATATCGGAACATTTCTTCGACCTTCGGAATTAATGTTTGCGAAATTCAGCAGGTCCCAATTTACAACTCGTTTCACGAATGTGTACACCGCAACGCTTATTAAGAAGCACAACATTAATGAGAAAATTCCATATTGTACAGCATCATGGTCCACGACACTGTCTGATTTATTCCCCGCGGCCACAATCACGGTTTCACTGTTAACATGTTTAACTTCTTTGGAGAACTACTTCCCCATACTGTTCGTATCGCGCCAAAAGGTCTCCCAGGAAGGCATAAAATAGTAAAGTTAAAACGCGCACTTGAATGTTCTTTTTCCGAAGACGTTTGTAGATTCGGAGCACGGTCGCCATATAATGGCTGCTCTACACACACAAATGATAAACTCAACCCCGCTTGCTCAAATCCGCTTGATTCAATTACATCCATCTCAAAATTTTCATTTAAAAAAAAAAAAAAACAAAAAAAATTAGATCAATCTATCTTACAGTAAATAAGACATGAAAACGGTTAATAATAAAAAACACATATTCTTACCTGGTCACAATAAAAACTACAGTACACACTACACTGTCTACTCTGTATTAAGCAAGAAAAAAAAAATAAAAACTGCGTGATTTTGAAAAACTTTGGAACTTGAAAACGCGAAAACTTGGGGAATAACTAAAAAAAAACAAAAAACGAAGGGGTACCGGAATCGCTACGATATCTTTTCTCAAAGAAGACACGGCGCCTACAACATGTTGTGGGGGAATGCTGGCACAAATGAAGAACACAACCAAATATGGAAATAGCACAATGAATACATATATATCTAAATCTCTATATAAATCTCTATATGAATAGCAACACTCACAGGGGCCGACCGGATCTAGCTCTAGAATCTTTCCTAGATGACTGATCTCGCCCACGTGGATATCACATCCTTTTATGCCAATGCTTGAACTTCCGAAAAACGGAAGCTCTCCGCGCGGACATAAACAAATGCGCCTCGAGAAACTCCGTCCGATAGGACTGACCCTGGACCTCCGCGATTTCTCACGAAGAGCCATGCCGCGAAGCATGCCTCATCTACGGAGCTGAATGTGGACACCAAACCTGCAAGGTCTGGTCCCACAACAATATAAACATTTATTGGATGAAGGAACGAAGAAGAGAAAAAAACGCTGTTTTGAAAAAGAGGAAAACTTCTTATAGGGTGGATCAGTAGTGCTTTCCCGGCAATAGACCTGGTCCTGGCACCATCGGTATCCCTCGCCGCAAACAATAACAGTAGTCCCGCACGGCTTGGCCAAATTTTCTCCATGCGACCTTCAGGAGACCCCATGCGTGTCGGCAGCTGTCCGCCGGCAGATCGATTTCGGTGTCCCAATCCACCACAATCTTTCTTGTCAGCCCCATTTCCAGTGTCGTCAGGCCCAGGTACTGCTGGGTCCGGGGCCGCCGCCGGGGACTGGGATGCGCCTTGGTTGTGGATATAGTCATAGAAGCCATGGTTGAGAAGCGATGGTTGGGAAGGCTGGGAGACCTGGATGAAATACGCACGTACTTGATAAGCAAGTTACTAAGGAAATAAGAAAATGGTAAAAGGAAGATAAATTTTAAGCTTTTTTTTATTAATGACTAAAAAAAAAAAAAAGATTTTAAGCTAATAGTGAATATCGGGCCGCAGGGTGGGCCCCGGCTCCAGCTTGACGCCGAGTCTAGCGCACACTATCGTGACCCGTAAGGCCTCAATGACCGCTCTCACCGCCTCCCTTGAATGTTCCCATGCCAGTCTAAAACTAGCGCCTGGGAGTACCAATTCTTTGTTCCAGTCTACTATGATCGTTGAATCCGGATTCCGGTAGCCTGGCTGCTCTAGGGTGGGTTGCTCGTTGAAGCTGCGACGCCGGCGGGGCTGGAGAAAACGAGGGCTGCTGTTTGATTCTTCTGCCGATGAGAAATCAGACTCCTCGGCACGACGGTTTTGACTTCGATTTCTTCTAGGCTTGGTAGACTTTCCGCTGAACTCCATGACCCCATTCTCTGGGTGCTGAGGGCTTGGTAGGTGGTTTGTTGGTCCGGCGGATGCTGAAGGTGCCTCATCGTTTCGCTCGCAGCGTTTTATATCGGAGCATTTCTTCGACCTTCGGAATTAATGTTTGCGAAATTTTGAGTTTGTTCACAAACAAACAAAGTTCGAACTTGCCAATACCGTGCGCAAGGTCGGTCCCTCGGTCTCGGATGACTCGGTCCGACGTCATGCGAACTCCTACGGCCCGCTGGCGATGGTTGGCCGATGACCGCTCTGGAGCCAAATTGGAGCGCCTTGTAAACGTCTGTAAACGGGCCTTGTCAACGGGCTCACGCTCCCATTTTTTTCTTAATTTTTCTGCAACTCTGGGGTTGCTCTCGGTCGGGGGCGTTCTGCGTACTGTACCCATCTGCCTTCGGAGGGGCATCGCGTTGACGGCCAGGAACCGCAGGCGGCAGAAGTGGAGGCGGACTGGTGGGTTGGCGGCGGTGTGGCTCTGGGGGTAGGCGGAATGCGGGCGGTCCCTCGTGATGGTAGATGGGAAGCCCGTGGCTGCTGGGTATCCGGAGCTGCGGGTACTTGTACGCTGTCTCGAGGGATTACAACCAGGATGCCCTTGCACTTAGGGCAAATGAGAGTGCGTCGCTCGGTCCTGTCCATATTGAAGGCGATCTTGAAGGAAAAGTTTCGTGGTAGAGAAGTGAGGTGAGTGTCCAGCGATTAGTCCGGTGGGCACAGTATTTAAGCGCCCAGAGCCCGGGGACCTGAGGGGAAGGGGAGTAGAAGGAGTGGAAAGAAGCGCATAGGCAGGGAAAATGTCAAGTCGGAAAAAATTGTAAAAACACGTGCGGAAATCGAGTCAGCGGAAAGAAAGGTGTCACAGGAAAAGCACGGTTGCGCGTTCCCTGGCGCGAATTTGGGATTTCTTTCTGTGGACTTTCCTGTTCCCTCCTACGGAAGTCGAAAATTTTGTATGTTTTGTATATTGCGTGTGTATTTTGTATATTTGAACGAAATATCATAGCTTGTAATGCATGCGTGGGATTGGTATATATGTTTTAAGCTGTTAATTGGAAGGCCGACGGGACGGAAGGGAAAACTGGCCGGAATCAAATTTTTTTTTGGATCCAAGTTTTTTTTTCTTTTCTCGTTCTTAAATGTCTTCTTCCATCGGCTCTCTCCATCTAACCCTATGATTATTGTATGAGTCCGGATGGGAGACCGTCCTGTAACTGATATTTGAGTTTTTATTCAGATAATATTAGTTTCGATTAGACCTACGAAAACGAGAGAGGAGCAAGAAAACACAATTTGATTACTCTCGGTGGCTCATTTTAGTCGACGCGTGACGTAGGTCACAGACAAGCTCCCGGAAACCCTACACCTCATCAGAATTATAAAGACAGGACAGAATGAAAACAAGAAATAGATACTGGCAACGTAAACAAAACATGAACCGTTCGCGTTTACGCTATGTCTTACTACAAAACTCCTCCGCACCCGCGCGCAGTTTTACCACGCGATAGACCTCACCAGTGTTAGGGGGGGGGGGGGGGGGTAGGGGGAACTGCGAGCACGCGCCATTCTGCGTTCGGGGAGTGGCTTGTTGCTAAGCAATTGAACTACGCCCGCGCCATCACGGGATCGTGTTACCCGATGGACCGCGCCGCCGATCCATGCGCTGAGTGAAAATGCTAAATGTTTTGTAGTTGTCCAGACTGTGTAATACAAATTCTGACTTTCCCGTGTTTTCCAATTAACGGCG